TTGAATGGTATTATTCTTGTCTCCTAGAAAGAATATAAGAAAGATTTGGAAAATGAAATCAAAGGGAAAGGAATGGAACTCAGCTCAGAAGTTCTTGAAATTCAAAGAGCAAAGCGAGCATCCGAAATGGCGAGTGAGGTGAGTATATCTCAGGGCAGCATGGTAGGTCAAGCGCTACATGCGCTCTCCGGCTTCTCCCTGCCCATGACTGAAAAACAAAACCAAGAAGCTGTTTCTTTTTTCTACATGGTACTCTCTTTTTCAAAAATGACCATTTCTTCATTTTGCAGAACATGCATACAAACAAACAGTCGATGTAGAGAGTACCCAGTTCCATGAGACTGAATTGGCTCATTTAAGCCCATGAAGGTGGAAGGCAGAGCGCCCAGGGCACCATGGTCAACCACTAATTGCAGCTGTAGAGTTTATGGACTCAGCAGGTCATAATCCAGGGACTCTCACAGGCCTTGCTTAGACCGCTGAACAACCCTAGCTAAACCTCTTCATTAAAGGAAAGCGGCTCCTTCCAACTCCCTGTGACCTTTCTGAGAAGGAATGGAATACCTCTGAGATCCTTCAGTTTTTGAACCCTTATATTCCCTCATCGCCATGGGGCTAAATAATAACTTTTTGGCTGGAGGGGAATCGAGCTGAAAGTAGCGGTGAAGAAAATTCAAGATTCGCTCTTATTAGTTAGGGAATTGTGGGGACGATGATAGCCCTATTGGTTAGGTTGACCATGATAGAAACCCAACCTGACTTGTGTTAAGCAACAGAAGAAATTTATTGATTTAATGGAATGGGAAAAAAGGTCCTAAGGTCAAATTGCTTCAGCCTGGAATTCAAATGATGTCAGTCTCTCCATTGCTTCCCTCCCTCAGTATTGTTAAAGTCTCTCTTGGCTTCATTCTTAGAAGGCTGTCTCTCTGTGGCGGCCCCCCCTAACAGCTTCATAATTAATTTCCATAGCTGGCAATCTCAGGGAGAAATGACCATGTTCTCTTAGAGCTCCAGTTAAAGAATGTGATTAGGTCAATCACAATTTTGTGTCTACTGCTGACCTGTCGTCATCAAGCCCTGTGGTTGGCGAGTGTAGTAATCTTGGTCTCAGGCCAACCATTTGTTTAGTTCATTTTCTGTGCCGGTTTGAAAGACATTTTAAGTATAGCCTATTCTGAAGAATGATGTCTTTTTTCTTTTATATTCAACTTTGGCCATATTAATGCTTTTTAAAATAAGTTAGAGGGTAGAAGAAATATTTTAGTATAGCTAAGTATATATGTAGGAAGGTGGTAGAATTGAACCCACCCTGTAGTGAATGAAGTGAGAGCAGTATAAAGACAAGTCCCCAGACGAAAATCGAGGCGTTTTTGCCAGAAGAGGGATAGTGGGTCTGGTTAGGGGGAAGAACGATGTCCACTGTGATGCCTTTGACTAATATGGTCATTACACAACCACAATTCTTCTGTTACTGGTGACATCCATAGTCTACATTCAGGTTAAAATCTGGAATAACTTTTCATGATGATTTGGAGAAATTCCTAATGGCAGAAATCAGCCAAATTGCGTTAAATGAAAAGGTGATGGCAAGAATTCCAATAAATTGAGCCTTATTCGAAGGAAAGACTGATGTATGGAGAGAGCAGTAATATAACATAAATTCTCAATTCCCAAGGACCAACTCTACCCTGGGCGCTATGCCATGTGCCTGCTCATTTATTCCTATAGTAATCCTGCATTGGATGAATTATTTCCCACATTTCTAGAAGAATAAACCAAAGATTGGGAATGTTGAGAAACATTTCCAGCATTGCATAGTTCATGAATGCTCTGGCCTCAAAATCAATTGTATTGATGCCATATCAGCCTGTTTATACCCACCCTCTCCCCCTCAGCACCCAGCACCTAGCACCCAACCCCCAGACAGTTGTTAATATATACATATACATGATCATTCATAGTTCAAAATGAGTTATATTTTGTTTTTCAAATGCTTGCCTCTCGTCAGTTGTAAACATGTGTGTCCACAGAGTGTCTGACTGTTGTTGGATGTTGCCTTTTCCAGAAAGAATACAAGAAAGACCTGGAGTTCATGATCAAAGGCAAGGGAATGCACGTGGGCACAGACACCCTTGAAATCCAGCGGGCCAAAAAGGCTTCGGAGATAGCTAGTGAGGTGAGAGAATGCCTGGGACAGACCTGGAAGTGCCTATTTTGGAACTTAGTATAAATCATATTACCCACTGGCTTGGTATATGGAATTTTCCAAATCTTTGCGGCTGGTTTTAATAGGTCTGGATGGAAATACTCTCAATCAGTCTGCTTCTTTGAAAATTCACATTCGTGTTTTTTTTTTTTTCCGTCACGCGAATATTCTTGAAGCACACGAAGCTCAGGAAAAGGTATTTGCACGACCTGTGTACAGACCGTCTTCCTTTGTCCCCTGATATGTTGTGAGCTGTTGTTGAGTTGACCTGCAGCTCCTGGCAGCCCCAGGTACAAGGCAGCAAAATGCCGCAGCCTCTGGGGCCACCTCATAAACCGTTAGAGATCACATCATTACTCATAAGCCTTTTATTGGTTTGTGTTTGGAAATAGGTTCTAAGGACCTTTCTTCCTCGTCCGTCTTCGTTGTAAGCTGTGCTGTGGTGTGTTCAGTGTCGCAGCAGCACGCAAGCCTTCATTGGCGCAGGGTTGATGGACATGAGTGCAGTGGCCAGGAAGTCTCATGTGGAAGGCAGTGTTTCCAATTCTGAGTTCCCCCTGTGCCTTCCATCAATCGAGGCTACTATCAATGTTTTCATACTGTCTTTCCTTTAACAATAGGTCATGATGGGTGCTCGATATGTCATGTTAGATAGAACAGGTATCTGATACATTTCTCATCTTAGTATATCTGTCCTTTCAACTGTTCATTGTGGCAGTGATGGCCATCTCTGTGTGATTTGCTCTGTGGTCTCAGAAAAGCCTCGGTTGACCCATTCTTACCCTGTCCCTGACATTTCTACAGCCAGTAGTTTGGGTGGAAGTAGTATATCTTTCTGAATGACCTTGTTCTTCACTCAATAAGAATATTTTTCCCTTTTCATGTAATGCATGCAGTTCCTGGCATGACATGAATTTAGAGATTTGCCTGAGAGGCTCTCTATCAAATATCAGTTATGGGAGTCAGACCATAGAGGCATTTCAGAAGAAACACCTAGGAATGAGTTCCCTGCTTCTTGGACTCTCTGGAGTAGACACTACCTGGAAAGAGACGATTTTGTAAGAAGCCCAAGTGATGACAAATTTGAGTTGAAGGTTTAAGGATATTTGCTGACTTAGAGCGAGGCTGATTAAGCGGGGCCTTCGATGGGCCCCTCCGAGAGTTGCTCTGTGACCTATGTAGTTTGGAAGAGCTAACTCGGGCTTCATTCACACACAGGAGATGGCGGAAGATGAAAGATAGCTGGTTAGTTATTATGACTGTGTGGGTATCTTCCTACAATCCCAGGGGTTGGCACCACCCAGGGAAATGACATGACCAAGATTGGATTAGACAGAGAATTTTAAAAAAACATTTTATTAGGGGCTCATACAACTCTTATCACAATCCATACGTACATCAATTGTGCAAAGCACATTTGTACATTCATTGCCCTCATCATTCTCAAAACATTTGCTCTCCACTTAAGCCCCTGGCATCAGCTCCTCATTTTCCCCTCTCTCCCTGCTCCCTCCTCCCTCAGGAACCCTTGATAATTTATAAATTATCATTTTGTCATATCTTGCACTGTCCAATGTCTCCCTTCACCCACTTTTCTGTTATCCGAGATGGAGGATTTATGGATGCTATTTGATTCCTTTCACTGGACTTCCAAGCATCCAGCAAGTAATTAACTACTTACCTAACCACTGGGTTATGAGTAGGCTGCTAACCTCTAGGTCAGCAGTTCAAAACCATCAGCCACTCCACTGGAGATAACTGATGCTTTCTACTCCCATAAAGATTTATAGTCTCAGAAACCCACAGGGACAGTTTTACCCTGTCCTATAGAGTCACTATGAGTTGGAATCAGTTTTATGGCAGTGCTAGAATCACCGTAGAATCACTACATACAATAATATGAATTTTTTTCTTATTATAAGAAGGGAGTTATGTTCAATTCAAAGTAGCACATTGGGACATACGTAGGGCTTCAGGACCAGAGGAGTTTTGAAGTTGTCCTTATGGAAGTGAGAATTTAAGTGAAGAGAAGGTATCTTTGTTTTTGAAAAAGAAAAATGTGGGAAAACATAGATTTTGTATTTTATTCTTTCACCTAACAGCAGACTTCGAAGCATATTCCCTGTATGGGAAGTTGGCATGTTTTCACACACAGATATGTCTAGTGGGTGTAGATTAGTTCATTCAGGATTACGTTGCCCGAGAGAAGGAGCCAGGATGACAGCTTTAGTCGGATGCGTCATGCTGCCCATCTAGAGCAAAGATCTAAAAACCAAGCGAAATAGAGGCCAGGTGGAAATCCTGGCCCTTCAAAGGAAAGATGAAGAACGGAATGAAATGCCGGTCCGAAGGAGAGCTGGATGGAGGAATGCAGTGACGGAGGGATGCGGAGCAGAGGAACGCTGCCTGCCAGCCTGGCTCAACGTGGCCATTCTGAGACAAAGCACCTTTGGATGAGGAACACAGAAAGACGACTTCATGGCGTCCCCCATAGGAAGCCAAAGAGCTGAGAAAAAGCATCCCAAGGAAGCAAGATGAGCAGAACATGATCCGGATTTAAGGAGTGAAAGCCCAGGATTGAGGGCAAGCGTTCCAGCGAGCCGATCCTGGTATCCATAAAGGAAAGAGGGAGCGAGGATCCAGACACAGGTCCATGCTAGAGAGGTGGTCCCTGACCATGAACGTGGTTGGCATGCACAAAGCAGTCGATTCTCTACCCAACCAGACTACACGCAACTCCGAGATCCTTGAACTTGAAGGGGCCAGGCCTTGATTGCTTATCGTGGCCACTGGAAAATGCTTCCACAACTTTGCCTGCTGACCTGAGAAGTGTGCTCCTCCTTCCCCAGCACTCCTGATTATTAGAACCAGGAACCCCCTCGCTTAGAGACATGAATCCACTAACTCTGCAGCCCACAGTGGTCACCCTCCCTTTCGTCATCTTCCCCTCACCTGGATTTTGTCTCCACCCCCCTCTCCCCTGCCCTTCCCTGAGCTATAGTGGCTATAGTACCCTGTCCACCTGACCCTGTCCCCAGCCCTGCGTTTCACCAATCGGAGTGGCAACTTTCCCTCCCAAGCATCATCAGCCTAAATAAGTTAAAAAATCAAAGGATGGGGAAAACAATGACTAAGCAGATGCTCAAAACTCACTGCAATCAAGTCTATGCCAACTCATAGCGACCCCCTGTGGGTTTCTGAGACTGTCACTGTTTACTGAGGTAGAAAACCCATCAAGCAACCCAAAAAGAGCAGCGGTGGTAATATTAATATCTGATCAACATAAATCAAACTCCATCCCAGGAGACAAAGAAGGACACAATAATGATTAAGGAAGGGATCAATCTAACAAGATGACATTGTCGTTTGGTTGTTAACTGCCATTGAGTCTGTTCTGACCCATAGTGACCATATATGCACCACAGGACCCGCTTCGCACAACAAAACACTGCCTGGTCCTGCACCATCACCATGGCTTCTCTACCTGAGCCCGTTGTTGCAGCCGCTGTGTCAATCCATTGACTTGAGGGCCTGCCTCTCCTTTCACCATCCCTCCACTTTACCAAGCATGATGTCCTTTTCCAGGGACCGGCCTCCCCCGATAAAATGTCCAAAGTACATAAGACAAAGTCTTGCCATCCTTGCCTCTAAGGAGCATGCTGGCTCTGTACGCCTTCCAAGGCAGATCTGTTTGTCTTCTCAGCAGCCCATGGTACTTTCAACAGTCTTCACTATCACCTTAAATCAAATACATTGATTCTTTTGTAGCCATCTTTAATCAATGTCCTCACATGCACCTGAGGCAAGATCATGACTTGGGTCAGGTCTATCTTAGTCCTCAAAGTACTGTCCTTGCTTGTCCATACTCTATAAGAGGGCTTATGCATCAGCTTTACCCAATGCAACACGTCTTTTATCTCTTGACTGGTACTTCCATGAGCATTGATTGTGGGGCCAAGCAAGACCAAATCCTTGACAGCTTCAACCTTTTTCTCTCCCTTTCACATGATGTTACCTGTTGGTCCAATTGTGCGGATTTTGGACTTCTTTACATTGAGTTGTAATCCATACTGAAGGTTGTAATCCTTGATCTTCTACAGGAAGTGCCAAAATGCCTCCTCATTCTCAACAAGCAAGAGCATGTCATCTGCACACCGCAGGTTGTTAACAAGCCTTCCTGCAATCCTGATGCCAAATTCTTCTTTTTATAATCCGACTTCATTGATAATGTACTCAGAATGCAGATTGAATAAATCTGGTGAGATTTATCTGATACACACTTTTCCTAATTTTAAACCATGCAGTATTTCTTTGTTCTATTTGCACAACTGCCCCTCGATCCATGTACAAGCTCTGTATGAGCACAAAGAAGTGGTCTGGAATTTTTCCATTAGTTTTTGAAACCGTTTCAAAAACGGAATGGAAAGTTTACATTTTCTCTCGATTTTTTAATTTTTTTTCAGGAATAATTTGAAACCTCATTTTTTGGCATCCAATAACCTAATTGAAAAGTGCATAAAAAACCTCAAGCAAAATCCAAGGTGAAATAGACTTTTACAGCAATAGCTGCAAACATTAGCCCACACTTTAGCAGGACCTCCGACCGAAAAATGACTCAAACGAAATGCAACCAAGATAGCATAATCAACCCGTTTGACCTCCTAGACACCTGACAGCAGCCCAGTCCACATGGTCTCCGGCTCACAGGGATGCTTTTCTGTAGTAGACCAGACTGTAGGTCACAAAGAAAGCCGCAGAAAATGAAAGCACTGGAAAGCATGTTTTCGGATCGCAACACTATCGTACCAGAAATCAGAAACATGAGCAACAAGGGGGAAAAATTTAAACACATGGGTAATAGAAGAAATTAAAAATAAAACAAAAAAGTCTAGAAACAAATGAAAACAACATACTAAAATGTACAGGACACAGTAAAAAGAATTCATGGCCATTAATGCACACAATAAAAA